CTTTTCTGATAAATTTACAATAAATAGTAATTATAAAACTTTCTGACTGCATATTGATCTTAACGATACAATTTTTTTAATTGTCATAAAATTTTCTATTTAATTATGTCAATGTCAAACTTACCAATTGAGCTAAAAGTTATGGTAAAATAAATTTTTTTTTTTATTATAAACATTTACAACAATCAACTTTAAACTATTAAAAAAATAAGTTAAATATGTTATTTTCCTTATTTATAACATATTAATATTCAAAATCAGTATTAATTTAAAACAATTTTTTTTGTTCTTATTTATTTTTTTTATATGTAAATAGTATTTTTTAATAATATTAAAACTTATAAGTGATAGAAATAGTTCTAATTGCACATTTTAAAACATCGCGAAAAGTTGATTTAGAATAGTATATTTTTGTTTCTGATGGAAGTTCCTTNAATGTTGATTTAGAATATTATATTTTTGTTTCTGATGAAAGTTCCTTTTAGTACAGTGTATAAAACTAATAACTTTGTTAAATGTTAAACTTTATTAAAAATTACCAAATCAGTACAAATTATTTTTTATATAGATGCATGTTTTTATCTATCATTTGGTTTTTTTTTTATAAATCTAACCTTTTACCTGCCCACAAGAGGGATTCAAAATAATAACTTTTTTTTTTTAGTTAAAGTAAATCATTAAAATTAATTCAGTTCTGGATATTTCATTTGTAGAATCTTTTTAAATACCAAAAATTACTTAGAAATGATTACTATGATTTCTATTTAATTGTTCTATTACGATAAAAATGCAAAAAATAATGATATTAATCTTAAAAATAACATTATTTTAATTATTATAAAATTTTCTATTTAATGATTTATTCTAGTCAACTAAGGAGTAATTTTGGGGAATAACAGAAAAAATTCCCAACCAAATTTTATTTTTTTTTAAATAGGAATTTTTTTAAAGTAGGAAATTGGTGGATTATTCCAAAAGCAACATCAACTCTTATTTCTTTAATTATATCATGATTAGTAGTTCTTTGATTTTAAAATATAATATTTGAATAAATACTAATTATAATTATTAAATTTAGTATGAAATTGATATTTAATATTGTAATTTAAACGGAGAAATTATAAAAATAATAAAGAAGTTATATTTTGCTTTACTTTTACGTGTATAAAAATTTAAAGGGCTTGATACAATAATTTTCAATAAAAACTGTTTGTTACTATAAAAAAATGCACTGGACTACAAGGAACTTTCATCAGAAGCAAAAATATACTTTTCTAAATCAAATTTTCGCGTTGTTTTCAAATCTGCAAGTAGACTATTTCTATCACTTCTAATTTTTTATATTATTACTAATTATATATATAAAATAATAATTAAAAGAAAAAAAAATTTGTTTTCAAATTATTACTGATTTGATTTTTAATATGTTAAAAATAATCAGTCCAAATTTTCAATTTTAACCTATTTTTTTGGTTCTTTAAAGTTGATGAAAAATTTTTGATAAAGATTTATGAAAGTTTATAGTAAAATAAATTGAATATATTACCATAACTTTTAGCTCAATTACAAGTTTAAAATTAACATCTAGGCCAGTCAACAAAGGAAAAATTGTCGAAAAAATTCCTAACCAAATTTTGTTTTTTTATAAGTTGAATTAAAATATGTATAATGACATACTAATAGTCCTTATTGATTGGAATTGAGCTTTTTTNAACCAAATTTTGTTTTTTTATAAGTTGAATTAAAATATGTATAATGACATACTAATAGTCCTTATTGATTGGAATTGAGCTTTATTTTACAGCCTCGCAAAAGCTCAAAAATATGAGCTTTCTTAATTTTCTCAAAAAAAAATATTTAACTTACAAAAAAAAGTTTCGTACAAAAGTTGTTTAAAAGACAATTATAAACAAAAAAATTATCTTATATTTTTTCATTTTAACAAATATTTTTCGAGTTACATTACATTTAATACGAGTACAAAAATTTATATTCCATTTTTTTCATTTTACGGTTACTTTTTATCATGTTACACTTACGTTAGACACAATGTTATAAATGCATATGTGTGTATGTGTGAGTTTATTTATTTATTGTATCATTAAAGTGTAGTGTATATTAATATACAAGCGATAGAGTAGGTAATTGATTTGACGCTATATTGTTTAAACCCAACTAAATGCTAAATTGTACATTCCCAAACAACAATCATATTACGTCAATTGCCCCCGGTATTTCTGGTAATCTTTTTATTTTTCTTTGCCTTAATCCCAACTACTTGGGGTCGGCCACCCTTATCCTAAAATTCCACTTGACACGATCTCCCACATCTACGCTCACATCAGCTGTCCACAAATCGCATTCAATAGCATCCCTCCATCTCTCTTTTGGTTTTTCTCTATCTCTTCTTCCTTATAACTGTTCTTACAGCTTCCGATTCTTCTCTCCTCATAACATGACTAAACAATCTAAGTCTATTTTCTGTCATCTTATCCACGATTGACGCAACACCTATACTTCCTCTTATATGCTCGTTCCTTATCCTATCTTCTCTAGTCACTCCACTCATCCAACTAAGCATTCTCATCTCTGCTACACTTATTCTCTGCTCTACTTTCTTATCAACCGCCCAACACTATTAACCATACATCATAGCTGGCCTCACAATTTCATACTAAATTTAAAAACTATAATTAGTATTTATTCATATATTATATTTTAAAATCAAAGAACTACTAATTAGGATATAATTAAAGAAATAAGAGTTGATGTTGCTTTTAGAATAATCCACCAATTTCTCTAAATGAAACACTATCTACAGATTTGCATCAAAGCGTTTATTATATGATAGTGATTTTGATCACTGTCAGATATCATCTATACTTGTCCAATCTATGCCTCGTCCACACTGTGCCTCGACCCCACTGTGCTACCGTTTTTACTAATACAATTTCAAAGAGAAGGAATATTACCACATATATATGTATATGTAAATTTTAAATTACCAATAATCCAAAACAATCGCCAACCGTACAATAACAGCTCAAACGAAATCTGCTCTATATGGGTTTAATTATACCAAAAATACTTATTTAAACTTTATTATTTATATTAAAATTTTATGTTCATCATTTTTTTTCTTACACCCAGAGAAAAACCTCGATCTATATAATAAATTCATTGTTCAATTTGATAAATATATCATTACTATTGAATCAATGATATATTTATCAATATGATATTTTTTTTTCTTGTCTTGAACAATAATTATTTATAAGAATAGTTATTTTGTTCGTATTAATAAAACATTATCATAAACCCTTGATAAAATTTCTCTTTCAATTTTGATTGAGGTTTTTCTTTGGGTGTACCTTTGAATAAGTATTCTTTTTTTTTAAATGTGTCTTTTCACACTGATGATGTTGATGACTAACTGACTCTGATAGGTTCTATGTGCAAGTGTGTTTTTTATACTACGTTAACCCGTATTTTTATACTTTTCTTTTAATTCAATTATGGGATCAACATTATTAGTGTTTCCAGATATTTTTATTGGCATTTAGTTTAATTATGATCAAAGTTTACAATATTTTCCATTAATACACAATAATATGAGTAATAAAATGATAACATAATTTTTGTCACGTTAATACTATTATTACAACACACACCATCCGTCATTTAGCAGATAAAACTGAATCGAATCGCTTATGAAAAGCGCTTTGTGAGAAAATCAAATAAGTTAAAAACGAAACATTTAAGTCATATTTAAGCGAATTATCTACTACAGTTTCTAAGAAACTGTAGAAGAAAAAACACTTATACCAGATCATCAATTTGGATTTAGAAACAAACATTCAACTATAGACCAAATTCATCGTGTAACAAACGTAACAAGTAACGCGTTTGAAAAAAAAAAATTATTATTGCGGAGTATTCCTTGACATAGCCCAGGCTTTTGACAAAGTCCGGCATAAAGGCCTACTTATAAAATTGCGTGAACAACTACCAAACTCGTGGTGTACACTTTAGTTCCATTTGACTGAAAGGCAGTTCCGCATCATACATAACGAAGCTTTAACTAATTGGAAAAATATAGCAGTTGGAGTTCCACAAGGTAGTATATTGGGCCCTATATTGTATCTACTTTACACGGCCGACATTCAACAACCGCTATGTTTGCAGATGATACTGCAATATTAACAACTAATAAAGATCAACAGATAGCTACTGATCAGATTCAAATAAACTTAAACAACATTTCTACGTGGTTGAAACGTTGGAAGATCAGGGTTAACAATGAAAAGTCAGTGCACGTAAATTTCACGTTACGTAAATATTTCTGAATCAACAAATAATCCCACAGAGAAATTTGGCTAAATATCTGGGAATGCACCTTGACTGCCGCCTCAAATTGAAACAACATGTACGCCAGAAAAGACTACAGATAAAAGTTGCGCATACTCTATTGATTAGTTGGAAAGCAATCTGAGATATCACTAGAGAACAAACGTCTGTTATACGTAGCGATCGTAAAACCTGTCTGAACTTATGGAATTAAATTTTGGGGTTGTGCCAGTAAGTCCAACATAGATGTTATACAACGTTGTCAAAATATCGCGATTCGTACAATCGTCGTGACTTACAGATTCGATAAAAATGAATATATTAATTAGTAAAATGTATATTTATAATTTTGATTATCATTTAATTGTATTGATTAAGATTTATTATCACCTCAATAAAAAGTATCGTAGGGTAGTTAAAAAAATAATAATAATAATAATATTAGCCACAAGTTGGTTATTAATTAATATTGTGCTAAATAATTTTAAGGATTGTTTTTAACTCAACTGAAACTTTAATATAAATATGATAATTTTGCCTGACACCAGTATTTTTACTTTAAGCATATTTTATTTTTTCACATGAAATTTTAACTTAATAATACATTTCAAGCTGTTTTATTGTATAAAATTAGAAATTAAAATCTATTTTAGCTTATTACTGCTGTTCATATGTATCAAAGAACTGAAACGCAAGGAAATATAACATTAGAAAAAGCAATATTTTTAGAAGATATAAATTTTAATATGTCATCCAAAGACTATCAATTTGTAAAAACTTCAAATAAACCATCAAAATGGAATAATTATTTTGATACATCAAAAATTGGTATGATTCTGATATATTTACCATGTAATTTAAATTAAATTTACTCGTTCTACAAGTAAATCCTTGAGGGTATATAATGTGTTTATATGTTAATGTTTCATTTAAATATTATAATGATTGCTTCCTGCATCAATTGACAATGCATTAGTCAATATAACATTATTTTTTAAGTTTTTAATTATTTTATAAAACATAAAATGTTTTATTATTATTCATTATTGTAAACAGCAGATTTAAACTTTTGTTAATACTGTTTATTCTTTAAAATATGAAATATTAACACAATAGCTTTGTGATTCTTTTGAATTAAGTTATTTTATTAAAAGTATAATGGAACAATTTTTTTTAGAATGGTATTGGTGGTGTAGAGTACACCCTACACTACTGCGAACATTAGCTGTTTTTACAGGATTGTTATCAACTATTATTGTTTGGTCAGAAATAACATTTTTTAGTAAAAAACCTGTGCTTTCTATTTTTGCTTTAATGGTTGAAGCTGCTCAACTATCAGATGATTATGTAATGATACAGGTAAAAATATCATAAATTTATGAATCTTATGTGTTTTTTAGTCTTATTTGCTGTTACTAATTTTGTCAAGTTACAAATTTGTTTTAAAATAGGTTCTTTCCACTATTTCCATTGCATATTTGGCATACTGTACGTATTCAACATTATTCAAAATAAAATTTTTGAACATTTATTATTTGGCACCAAACCATCAAACTACTGAAAGTAGTTTGATATTTTTTGGATTGTAAGCAATTAATGAACTTCAATTTAAAGTGATACCTTATAGGTTTATTTTAAATGTGTAAAGGTTATTGAGTCGACTTACTGCACCATTATGTTTAAATTTTTTGGGTGTAATTCATATGGATAGTCATGTTATAAAAAGTCGTATTTTAGAAACTGACTACACTCAAGTAAGCTTGTTTTCAATTTGCAACAGTTTTATTGAATGTTATACTTATTTTTTGTTATTAGATAATGGGTCATATGGATGTAATTACCATTATAAGTGATGGATTCAATATATACTTTCCAATACTAATCCTTGTTACATGCATGGTAACATATTTCAAAATTGGTTCTCGAATATTGTCAATGTTAGGATTTCCTCAATTTTTAGAGGATGATGAATTACTCAATGATTATATTCAAGAAGGTCGTGCATTAGTTATTAGGGGTTAGTATTTATCTTCATTGAATTTATTGTATATAATATTAATTTTATTCTAGAAAAAGAAAGACGTGTTCGTAAATTAAGAGTCAATTTAATGCGTAAAACACATTTATATAGAAATTATGATGATGTTGAAAGTAGTGAGTATTTTTAATTTTATTACATAAGTATGTGATCAAAAAAATTTTAATATTAATTTTTAGGATTTCCACAAGAAAATATGAAATCATATTTGTTGTATAATGCTGAACCCATTGATAGATCACATAAAATTTATTCATGTCACATTATAAATGAAACAGAAAGGCAATTGCCTAATGTGAGCACAAGACCAAGCAATAATTGGGAACCACCAAGAAATGTATTTGGTGATATATAAGACCAATGGTGAGCATTAACTAGTTTTGCTAGTAATTTTACTAGTTAAACTTAACTAGTTAATTATTATTCTAATGAACTCTTTAACTAAACTAATTTAATTTTCCATTTAGATAACTTAGCTTATTTCAATTAATTAGTTAAGCTAAATTTAATATTTCACAAAAAAATATATGTCTTTAAACGCTGCGGACTTGGTTTAATTTAAAATACATGGAAATTTCCCCTAAAATATTATATTTATATAACAATAAATATAATTTTCTGGATTTTTACAAAAATATATATGATTATTAACTAATTTTCAGCTTTAATGAATAGCTGAGAAGATATTAATTTTACTATGTGTTATTTTTTTTTTAATTTTTTATTTAATTTTATTTTTGTGTCTGTGAACGCTCAATCTTAGCTCTGGCTGGACCGATATTTTTATGAAAAATATGTCAAAGGATCACAAATCGTATCCAGTCGAAGACATTACCCTCAACATTTGAAAAAAATCCCTCGTTCCTCGTAAACGGGGGAAATCCCCCAAAAAATTACAAATTTAAAAATCGCTAATTTTTTCAAATTTTTTTACTTAAAATTGCCATAACTTATTTAAAAATAACCAAATGATTATATATTTTTTTTATAGATACATTAGGTATTTACCTATCATTTTATATATTTTTGTGAACATTTGACCCTTTAACAGCTCACAGGAAGGGTTTCAAAATGGTAACTTTTTTACAAAAAATTTAAAAATCGCTTATTTTAGAAATTTTCAAAATTTTTTTTACCTTAAACTGCTATAACTTTTTTAAAAATGACCAAATCAATATAATATTTTTTTTATAGATACTTGATGTCTTTACCTATCATTATGGTATATTTTTATTATAAATTTAACCCTTTATCTGCCCACGGAAGGGATTTAAAATGACAACTTTTTCACAAAAAATTAACTTTTTCAACTTAACTTTTGAAAATGTTCCGGAAAGACTGACACTTTTATATATACCTTAAATTAAAGCTAATGTAAAATACTTTAATTTGAAAAAAAAATTTGACCTCTGGACTTGTCTTCATGGTAAAAATGACTACCCTATGCAAAAATATGCTATTTTTGTGAAAAATTTCTTGATATTATATTTTACATTATATTTTAACATTATGTTGCAATATTTTTCAAAAAAA